GAGGCGTGGGTGAGGAGGCGCTGGGGCACGTTTTATTCTGCTGTGCGTCCCTTGCGGCCCGGCGAGCGAAATTTGGCTTTGAGGGGGTTTGAGGTGCCTGCGCTTCACTTTGGTCAGCCACTGGCTCGGTTGTTTTGCAATCCGTTCGGTCTCCGCGGCCACTGATTTGCCCACAGCCGGCGGCGACATAGAAGATGGTGGCGCTGGCCTGCTGAAGGCGGAGCGCCTTTAGTTTGTTGCTTTGATCGTTTGTCTTGTTTTGCTTCGGCTTCTTCCGCGCCCTCGTTTCTGGCACGCTGTACCCTAAAAACACCAAATCGCAATTTCTCCCCCACCACCACCACTTTTCTAAGGGGAGGCTACTCCGGCAGGATACTCGGATTCAACGTCTAAATTATCGCACAAAGTCGTAAATGGCGCCGATGCAATCCCCTCTGGAGGGTGGTGGAGCCTCCAGCTTAACCGTTGTTTTCTTCAATGAAAGGGGCGTGGGGCAGTATCTACTCCATGTAACTGCGGCGGCGCCTGCTTTTTTTTTTTTTGTTGTTGCGTCAAGGGGGCGATTTTCGGTCGTGCTTGTAATGGGAGGAGAGTATTTTGGGGTGTGTGGAGTGAACGAGCGAAGGGTTTGGAAGTGTGTTTCTCGTTTTCGTTTGAATTTGCGCCGCCGCATTTATGTGTGGCTGTCGGGTTCGTGTTTTTTTTTATTTTGCGGCGGGCGTTATGTGTGTGGGGTTTTGTGATCATCCGTCCTGCATTTGTTTGTATGATATTCTCCACTGTGTTATGATTATCATTGTTTTGGCGGCAAGGTCGGATAGGCATTGAAGAATAAGAGCGAATTTGTGTTTTTATTGCAATGGTTCCCCGATTATTAACTGTTGCACGCCCTCCGAGAAAGTCACAGTCGCCAATTGTGAAAGATACAACAGATGATGTCCTGGAAATATCTTCGGACTTCTCTGTTTTGCGGCGAAGGCCCAGGGATGCCATCAAAGCGGCCAAGCTACCCAACATAACTGTCGGAGTTTCTGCGCCGAACAACACATCCCGGGCTTTGTACAAGCGCTGCTTATCAGAGACAGCGTGTTTTCCATCAGAAACTTCTCAGTGGAATCGCAAGGGAAAGCCATTCGCGTTAGATGATGCAAAGCCCTCTGCTGAGTCATCACTTGCGCTTACGGGTTGCTCATTTTTTCATCTAGGAGATGATGTATTTGATGATGTGACCAATGTTTTGGAGAACACTTTGCGGCGTCAGTGCTTTCAACCCATCTGGTCCCTTATCGGAACATTTAAGACGAATATTCATTCTGTGGTTGATACGGATCCCCATCACGACACACTCAAGTGGTACCAGCGAACACCGAAGAACGACTTTCAACAAATGCGGATCCCCCTTTCTTCTATAAAAGAAATTAGAATATCGAGCGCGCCCCCAGAAGAAATGGGTCCAAATTGGGTAATTATTCGCACCTCGACTAAACCAACCCAAATTGTGTTTGGTTTTGAGAAGCTATCGGAGGCAAAAAGAATGAGAGCAGCCCTGCATTCTTTCCTGAATGCTTAGATACTTGTTTTTTATTTAACATTTTTTTTCTTTTTTTGATTTGACTTCTAGACTCAATGTACTCATATCAACCCATGTTTTTTTTGTTTTTTTTCTAGATAAATAACATCGCGAGTGTTTCATTATTATTATTTGTCCTCCTTAAAGGTGCCACTCGAATGGGATTTACCTCATGTTTGTATGGTTGTTGTTGTTGTTTTTTTGTATTTGCCTACTAGCTAAGATTGTGTACATATATATATAATATATATATGTATATAATCTTTCCTCTTGATTGTGGCCATCCACATCTTTGGCAGCGCAGCTGCCTTTGGAAAAGGGACTTATTCTTTTTTATCACTGTCTTTTTTTTTTTGGTTGTTTTAGGGAAAAGAGGTTATTTCTTTCTTATTTTGCTTTGTTCGGTATAACATCCTTTTTCTTTTTCTTTTTCTTTTTTCCTTTAAGGCAAATGCCGCCAAGAGGAAAGTCAGAGGGGCTGGTCACGAATGTTGCCGCACCGGTGTTCTCATTCCAAGATGAAAAATTCATTGAGCAGTTGCTACAATACGTTACGGAGCGCGACGAAACATCACTGGTTGTGTCGACAGCAAAGGCATTGGGTGCTGAAGACTATCTGATTGACCTCAAGCATCAGATTATCCTGGATTCGAGACTAGATTTTCTCCGTTTTTGTGTGGATCAGAAGTACGGGCCCTCTCAAATTCTACATCTCATCAAATGGATGGATTATTTTCAAGTTATTGTAGAGAAAGAATGTGGTATAGAGCAAATGCGGAAGGAGTTGATGAATTTCGTGTCTTCCGAAATTGAAGAAGGATGGAAGTGGCGGCAAGCACCTCCTGCTGAGGGAACTGCGGCAGAGCCACCTCCTCCTGCTAAGACCGTGAGTAAGAAGGGGGCGCGGGCTACCGATAAGGTGGCTGTTGAGGAAGTGGAGGTTACTGCCTTACTCCCTCGTGAAAATATTTACTTGACAAAAGAAGATGTGGGCCCGTTTTGCACATATCTTTTTTCGTGGTATCATTCAGCATGCATCTTTACATGTATATGTTGCTAGTCACCAACGTGAAACGAGAATGGCGAATGATTTTTTTGTTTCTTGGAACATCCCGTGCCTGCTCCCTCCTTACGCCTTCCCACGACGCAAGAGATGGCTTCCAAAGAACCATCTTCTTCAGATATGGATGCAATGAAGGAGTTGCGTGAAACGGAGTTGATGTCACTAGTCAATGAATACGAAGAGGCAAAAACTAGGGAAGAGTTGTGGCAGAAAACAAAACAGACAGAGGAGGAAATGCAGATTATCATTGAAAATGAGGGTACTAAAAAGGTGATTGAGGACACCTATGAGGGACTAGAAGCCGATCTGACGCAGAGACAGAAGCGCATTTTGCAGCGCATTACATCCCTGGAGAAAAAACTAGGTATTTATTCTTTTTCATAAATACTTGGCGGCAGTAGAAGAGCTAGTTGAAGCAATGGAAAGGAAAAGGTGAGGTCCGTATTTCTGTATGAGTGTGGAGTTATGAATGGAAACATCATTTTTTTTTTGTTCCGGTGAAGGCATAGAAGGAGGACGCAATTCTTCAGCTGATACCACGATTCAAGGGGGATTTGGAGGATACGTTACAAGATTTATATCCTCCTCGTCCCCCCTTTCTTTCTCTTTTGTCTCGCGCACAGTTACGTCTTTTTTTTCCCCGAATTTTGCTCCGCATTTTTATTTTCCAATTGCCACTTCTCTCAAGTGAAAGGCAACTCTCTTATCACGGGAGTTGTGCGAGTGCGCTGGGGCACATGCCATGTAGCATATTCATATGTATTGCCTCGCAGAGGTTGCGTTTACTTGACAGCATACGAATAAATATTTTCGAGGTAAATAAACCGGATATTTCTGCTGTTCGGTAAAAAGCCGTGTGAAAACGCGATTTTTGTTTGCTTGTTTACTTTTTATCTGCTCCATCTTGAGGAAGCGCTCAGTACACCCCCCACCCCCCACCCCCCACCCTTCCTTTTTTTTTGTTTGGATAGATCGATTGCGTCTGTCGTCGCCTTCTACGCAGCGGGGAGTCAAAGAAGGCCCACTGCGGCTCATAGATGAATGGGCATCACTTTAAAAGCTCTGACTCCACCATCCTTGTGACATTTAGCTATGTAAACACCATTATTTGTATTTGTTCTTGTACTGCCCTGTCACGCACAAAAGAAAAAACACGAAGACGAAAACAAAACAAAAAAAAAGAACATTGGCGGAGCCTTCTTGAGGGAGGGAGGGAGGGAGGGGGTGGGTGGGTTGGCGAGATCAGTTAGCGTTTTTTTTTTTTTTTGATCATAATGCGAGTCAAGAAAAAATATTTAAATGAATATGTTTCTTTTTTCTCCCTTTTTTTGACTTGAGTCCTGCTTTTCTTCACTTTCTTTTTTTTTTTTTTTTTACTGGCTGTAGCGCCTATTTTGTGCGCTTTATAGTCGTTGGCTATCCACAGAAGGCCTCCTTCGTCAAATTGGGAACGCACACACAGGCAGGCACCACACATAGAAAAACAAAAATAAAATGGAGCAGGTGAAGGTAGCATTGCGTGTGAGGCCGCTCTTGCCCACCGAGCGAGAACGCGGTGAAGACGAGAAAATTTCAGTGCTTCCAGGAGGGAAAAGTGTTCAGGTTGTCGCTCGTGTGAACCGTACCACTCAAAATCAGGTGCATACTTTCGACATGGATTGCTGTCTTGGTCCGGACGAGAATCAAAGGGAACTCTTTGCTAAATTAGGGATCGCGGAAATGTGCGATGCGGTTTTCAAAGGAAGGGCTGCCACGGTGATGTGCTTTGGGCAAACAGGTAGCGGCAAGACGTACACCATAAGCGGACACAACGAGGGGAAGGGGAGTGAACAGCTGACAGGGGACGGAATTCAGCTTACTGCTGCTCGTTATATGGCAGCAACGCGTGATGAACTCATGGCTGTTAATAATGACGTATCAACGACGATTACATTAAGGGTTTCTTATTTGGAACTATTCAATGAACGCATAAACGACCTTTTGAATGGGACTGAGGGACTTAAGTGCCGCTGGTCGAGGGATGCTAATAGTTTCTTTGTACAAGACTTGATGCTTGTGGAGTGCTTAAACGCTGATGACTTTCTTTTGGTTCTACAAGAGGGGCAGCTACGGCGAAAACGGGCCGAGCACCTCTTGAATGTTGATAGCAGTCGCTCGCATGTACTCTTCACGGTGTACGTGGAGGTATCAGAGGGGGATAGACCTGCTCGTCACGGCAAGATAACTTTTGTGGACCTCGCCGGGTCGGAACGCCTGCAAGATACAGGTAACCAAGCCGATGACAGCAAATTCATCAATCGATCCCTCTTTGCTCTCGGGAACGTCGTTGAAAAGCTCTCAAAAAGCCGCACACCAAACCAGCGAGACCATATTCCTTATCGCTCGAGTGTGCTGACGCAGTTACTGATGGACACTCTTGACGGTGGTTGTCACACGCTTCTGGTGGCATGTGTGACACCGTCCTCTCGGTTCGTAGAGGAGTCATTACGCACCATCTATTTTGCTCAACGGGCGCGAAGGATCCGGTCACGGCCGGTGGAACGTGTTGATGCAACACAGCAAGAAATTTACGGCTTGAAGGCGGAAATCCGTCGATTGCAGGAGGAAAACGCTCTCTTTCGGCGTGTTCTGGGTTTGCCTCAAACAGGTGCCGTCGATCCGAGTCGTTTGCAAAAGTTATGTCAAAAATCACCACGAGTGACGGCGACATCTTCCCCTGTGCCTGCGCGCGCCGAAAAAACCTCTTTCCCCAGTGGGAGTAACTCTCTCACACGCGCCACTCAACCCAGAGAGGTGGCGTGCAGGAACTCCAACAGTGAACCTGTGCTGCGCCCAACGCCATTAGACATTCTGGAACAACTTCCAAGCTCATCTGAGCTTGCGGCACGGCCACGACCGCTGCCGCTGCAGGGTAAACCAATGCAGCCGTCTTCGTCAGGAGCGATATCCGCCAGGTTTGGTTTTCACGTGGTGCCAAAGCAAAACAAACTCTTCTTCGGAATGTGAATGCACTGTTTCATTGCCTAAATCACTTTTTATGCCGGTTGCCTCGGTTGTTTTAGTTACTTGTTTTAATTGACTCTCTCTCTCTCTTTGACTTTGCTTCATGTTTCCGCTTCATATTTTTTTGTTTTTGTTTCCTCCCTACACCTTCTCACTCCTTCTGTTTTGCACAATACGAAGTAAAATAAAGTGACTGTTTTTGTTGTTGTTTTTTTGGTGGTGACCAAAATGCGGCTGCTGACGCACAATTTTCTTTGCTGCCTCGAGTGTCAGTCCTTCCCACTGCAACTTCGGGACGTGGAGGCGGAGGTGATGCCTTGTGAATTTGACTCTGCCTTTATTCGTTTGATGTTGGCCCGCATGGACTACAGTTTCATTCTAGGGGCGTTCAACGCC